AACGCAGCGCGGTATACGTGCACGCGGAAGCCGCGTCTCTTCCCTCTGCGTAGGTACGCGTCACGCACGACGCGAGGGATTGATCTCGTGGGCGGAGGAGATGAAGCGCGTTATTTAGCAACGATAAGGAGGTCGGGGCCACATCTTTTTAAATCCAAGCACTCGTGCTTTTCGGAGTCCAAAGGAGTAACGCTGCAATTTGTCCCTCGAATATTTAAATTGCTCCATCATTGGCAGTTAGAATGTTCAAGATGTTCAATTAAAATGATCCTGCAAGGATCCTGAAACGATCAAGCATGAATCTAGGACTTATTTTGCGAAATAAAATGTTATTTACACCTTCGGGTATTATTACCTTCGCTGATTTGTCACTCTGTCACCAGCCGGTCGCGATTCACGAGGAATAAGGACGACGACGGCGGCCTTGTTTGCGTCCGGACGGCGAATAAGAACTCGACAGCCGCGAGCAACAGCCGCAGAAGTGTCTTTTCGTCTCGTTAAGCCTCCGTGTCCGTTCCAAGAGCGCAGCGTTCATTCAAACCAGCGTACAATACAAAATTTCGTCTACTTATCGCGAGGAGCCATTGGATCCGCTAGAATCAAACAAGATGATCGGACAGTTATATGTATGAAAAGTTCACAGAGTCACACCTTTTTTCCATTTCAAAGTTTGACATTGTTTCCACGTTTGAGCTACGTGGTACAGCTACGTTGAGCTGTACTACATAACGTATACGTCATGAGTACACGACGTGGTATTGCATTATATAGTACACCTTAGGTGTGTATATATATCGATTACACTATGTTGGAAGTAACATGATGCAATCTATTATGAAACGTCTCGTTTAGTGACGTTTGCAGACCGCAGTTTCCTCGTCCTACAGGAACTCGGTCTTATTTTATATAAAATATATCGTGACAACAGATTCCGGTTTACTTACAATTAGTTAAATTGATCGTACGATGAATATTTTGAACGAGAGAAAGATCTGCGAGTAAATAGAGAGGCGTTTCACGATTTGTTTAAACGTGCGGGATTATTGATGAACAGCTTTTGTCTTCATTCATAATGTTATCACTCAGCGGCGAGGTGGAAATAGCGTCGAGAAATGTCGTGCCGTTTGCCCACAATCGATTACTTGCTTCATAGATTTTATTTTATATACAGGCGCGTACGTGTTCCTTCGCGAATATCTTTCGTTTGTCGGAGATTAGAGTACTACCTTTTTTTTTTGCATTTTGTCACAAGGAAAAAAACGGATTATCTTATCTACTGTTATTATCTCTTTGCGATATTAAATATTGTCACAGATATGTAACGACGATCGAACTGAGCCAGATGAAAGGAGTATCGCGAGCGTTATTACATTTGAAGTTTTATATTTGGATTCCATTCCTTAAGATTAAAAAGCAAATTCATCCCTTTCTTTCATAATCTTCCTTAGATTTGTACGTAAGTTGTAAGTATAGAACCTCGTGTCCCTTTTAACAAATATTGAAATAATGTATTTTCAGTATAATATAAAAATGGAGATGTTTAAAGGGATAGGATGGGAGATTAGAGAAGAAAGCGGATTTAAAGCCGCCACTGCCTGCCCGCGCCTTACCAGATCTCGCGACCGATCTGACGAGCGCGCGCGGCATTTCGATGAATAACCACCGGTGACAAGTCCTGACGTGCGTAAATGTTCTTGCAGAGAATCGTGGTCACGTGAAACGCGGACGTTGACATCGGAGCGGCAGCGAGGGATGCGTTCTCCCGTGTTCGCGAGTGATAGTCGCGGCAGCATGACTGCCGCGGCCACGTAGTCTCGCGTGCACGCACGCGGACAGAGAACAGTACGTCGTCAGTGCATCGTCATCATCATCCATCGTCGTCGTCGTTGTCGCCGTTGCTCCGTGCGTGCGAGAGCCGACCACCGAGAATGCCGGTGTGAAGTGAAAGAACCATAAGCGCTGCGAAAAACGCTTTCGCGATTCTTGCATGTCGTAAATTTTACCTATCACCCCGAGGATACACGCAGAAACAAAGGTGAGCGCGCCCGAGCTCTTAAAGCATATAAGAAGCGTCGTCGCGGGATTCGAAACCCGATGGAATTTCGCCGAGTTCAGTTACTCGAGAGGCGATCTCCTCTCCGCGCCTGTGTTGGTGTGCCGAATCGTCGCGAAATTCTCTTTATCATCGTTACACGCAGGCGGAAATTGAACTCGTCGAGATTGTCACGGTTTCAATCCTCTTGCTCTTTTCTTTTTCCATTGTCACGCCGTTAACTCTTTTAAGACGTCGATGATTTAACGCGAGAGATCTTCGACGTTTCTGAGGAAATTAAAATGGAAATCGATGGTCCATTCTATCCGCTCGTTTTGCGTAGAGTCGATGGTACGATTTGTAGTGTACTTGCTAAATTAGCACTTCTCAAAATTAAAAATTATATAGGAAAAACTGTAAATTGTAAAGTTTGTTTTCTTTTTATTCGGATTTTGTTCTATTTATGTAGCCAAAAGATTGTCTTGAAAGAGTTAAAGTCATTTTGTGTATTTGCAGCACAGATTGCCTCATTTAGCAGCTTTAATATTCACACGCTTTAATGCTTCATTAATTTATGTTTTGATATACTGCTTAATTTGCTTTGTATCTATCACTTCTTTCAGACACGTGCGGGTTTTTGGACTAGCTACTTGAAAATTATACTATTTCCAATTCTGAATTCGGCATCCTTCATGAATTGCTAATCAAAGATAATTGGCTATATTTTCTTCATATATTTAGCGCTAATTGCGCTAAATAGACGTTGAGAATAGAGACCAAGAATTGCCAAGAACCAAATTATACTGAGTGCGATAAAAAAAGTCGCTTTGGGATACGGAATGTTGAGTCTGATATGTACATATAGTTTATAGGATTATGGTAGCTAGCCGGTGCGTTTTAGTACTTCCGTTCGTCTTCTATTACGATTTTAATATCTTTAATATCGCGAGCGCAAAACGTGTGTCGCGCCTTGGCGACGTCCGTCTTACTAATTCCGGGCGATGTTAATTGCGAAGTAAATTTGTTCAAGTAAAACCGTGCGCGAGCGGACAAGTCCTTATTTTCGACCATTATTTTTCACACACGGCGAAGGTGGCGATTTCTTACTTCAAGTCCGGTTTAAAACGTGAAG